GGAATTAATGGAATTTTTCCCCACTTACAGTTGTGTTCCTGTGTAACCTTAGAGGCAGACTTAAAAAAAAATGGTTTCAGAGGTCACAGAGTGGGACTTAAAGGCTTTTTCTTATGATTGTCCTCCCCTGAAAATGTCTCAGAGAAACCCAGTGGTCTGAAGGATGACCTCTCAGTTCTTTTATGAAGCTGTTAATCTTCCTTTCTAAAAATGAAGTAGGATCTGCACAGTTTCTCCAAGTGGCCTACACAGCCTACACACAGCAGGCAGCCCAACTCTGTTTAGTATATCCAAGCATTGCCAAAGACTAAGTATCTACTATGTGCCAAGAATTATGCCAGGTCCTAGAACCACAAAGAATTAGAAAATTCACCACATAGATTCATTTACTCCATAATTTTAATTCAAAATGCTGGTACACAGTGGACTTTCAATAAATATTGTTTAAAGAAAAAATAAATAAAAATAAAAAATGATCTTTGGCAACTATCTGAGTAGATCATAAAGAATAAAGGAAGTAAAACTAAACACTTACCTAGAAGGTAATGTAATTTTATTCTGACCCACTATTACTCTGGTACAACTTATTGGCATAGCAGTTAGTTTGGGGATGTGCTTCTATTTTCATACAAAACCAGCTTGTGCCACAGTTGTTTTTTTATGTTAAGTAAAAGACCAAGTAAGATAACCCATGCAGGCTAGCACAGCTGTCTGACAAGTTTAGTGCTAGAACAAGACCTGTGCAACTACCTGGTGCTGAATCTTGGGTCATTGCACTGTGCTGAGGATATAAAACCTCAAAAGTGGGACTCCATGAAGGGTCACATTTACATTGGTGGCAAGAGAAAGTAGAGAAAGATGAACTGAAGCTAGCAGGAGAACAATCAATGCTGCAGTGAGTACCTGCTTATAATGAGATGTTTTCTCTCTTCTGCTGTTTCAGTTATAGCAGCAGCTGAAGGCCCCTAACAACACAAGTGCTAGTGGAGAAGGCAACAAAGAACCTGGGAATACATATCTTGCTGTACTTTGGACACATTTTTTTTTCCCAAAGTGCAAAAAATTCAAGATAGAAACTTCTAGAAGTAGGTCACTATGGGCTATTGGTGGGGAAGGGATAGAGATCATATCTCAGTCATTGCTTATTCAAAAACAGGCAAACCACATTAAAATTCCAATTCATATTCAAAATGTCAGTGTAATGTGAAAATTTTAAGAAAAATCTCATCACACAGTTCAACTATTTCCATAAATACTTGGAAATTATTCACAACAACACTAATAGTCTAACATAGCATTTTTGGAATATTAATCTGATTTTCTAAGACCATGCCTTTACTGATACAATTCTGAGAGCCATTATATTCATGATTTCCAAGTACAAGATTCTACATAAATCTTTCATAGAGAAGAATGAAGAGCAAAGATCCAGAAGTTTCTTACTACCACTCTGATGACACATTAGTCCAACTAGTTTGATCAAAAATGTCAACAAAAATAATTCATTCTTTATTGCTAATATTCTGGTTTTTTTAAAAAAAATTATGTTTAAAATTAAAAACACTATAGTGGATTCTCTTACTCCAGGTCAGCTGCATAAAGGAGATTTTTTTGCTTAAAGAAGCAAAAGACACATCCACAGAGTGTACTTACGGCCATTCTTGCCTTACCTTACATGAATCCATGTCTTCATGTCAGCACCTCTGCATGACATCAGCACCCAGAAGATAAACACACACTTGTAAAAGGGGAGGCTGCCTACCTGCTCACTGGAACATCCGTTCATCTATTAACACTTATTATGCACCTTCTACTTGGTAGAATTAGTACTAAGTTCTGGGTTAATGAAAAAAGATATAGCCCTTGTTTTCAAATAGTTCACAGATTTTTTAAGGAAATGACAAGCTGACAGACTAAAATTTGAGCCCAGATAGACCTATGCACAGTCCTGGGTATAAGAGGGGTGGTTGAAGCTGGGATCAGAAAAGACTTCTTGGCAGCTTGAACTAAGCACTGAGGGTTAAATTCAAATTGGACAGGTGGGGAAGAAGAGTAGGTGTTCCAGGCAGAGGGACTGATATGTGCCAAGACTCAGAGGTGTGAGAAACTGCATGGAGAGTGAGAGAAGAGCCTTGTATTATACTAAAGAGCGTGGGTCTTTAGCTAAAGGTGATGGGCGGTCACTCTGAGAAACTAACGCCATCAGATTTGCTCTTTAAGTAGCTGTCTCTGGGGGCTTGCATGGGATGCGACAAAGAAACTCAAACCTTGACATAGTTAAGGACTGATGCAGGAATCCAGAAGGGCCCTGGAAAGGCCTGAATTTCTTCAGACCGTCATCATTATCACCATCACCATCACAATATGATAAGCACCATGCATACATTATCTCATTTGATCAGCACAATAATAATAGTGCCATTACTATCCCCATTTTACAGCTGGGAAAGTGGGTAAGAGACTTGCCCTCACAGCGTGGTAATCAGCAGAGTTCAGACTGAAACCAAGGAGGTTTAGTATTAACCTTTCATGCTCAGCTACGTCTCTATACTCCATGTGATTTCCCAAAATCTCAACAGTGGTTGAAAGGCTGTTTGATTAGAGATCTATCACCTTGGGGATGTAAAGCATTTAGGTACTAGGCAGAAAGGAGACTGTGACCACTTCTTTTAATTATCTGGAAACCTCAAAAATAATGTATTCTCCAGCCCTACATACACAATAGAGATAAAAAGGATAAATATTCAAAAATATATAGTAGAGGAAAATGTTCTGTGACCAATAAATGTTTGATTGAAAAACAAAAACATCAAACTCTAACTAAAAACCTAATATAGATTTCATCTAAAAAAGAAGTCAAAAGTAATCAGTTGTTCTCTTCCTTTATGTGCCTTTGAACCATTATAATGTTAATGTCACAGATTTTATTCTTAATAGTTGTATAGCTGTACAACTGCAACTTGTTCCATTTCGAATAACCCATTCTCTATGAAAAGAATACGTTATTCATATTATTGTACAGATGTTGCATTATCAAAATATTGACTATTGAACTTAGTGTTTCATTATTTTGAAAAGATATGAAGATAGTGTTCTCTTACAAGCACGTTTTATTTGAAGTGACAGTTTCCAGACCCACTCGTCCAAGCAAGAACTTCATTATTTCTGGCAAGTGTCCCAGAGAGGATCTCCATAACTCAAAAACTCAAGTATCACTTTTGTTCAGGATAAACCATTGTAATACTGTCAAAAATGTTAGCAATGCACGTAACCCCAAATCAATCTTAGGAATAACAATGAATATAGTAGGTAAGAATCTATTTTCCACTTTCAAATAGACTTAATATTTACAAATGTATCCATATAGACAGGGATAAGAATGACCTCAGACAAGATATAGTATCTGTAAATCTCTAGTAGAACTTAAGTCTAAGTCTACTTTTTGTTACACAAGAATTCTTTGTCCTTTTCTTTGTAAAAAATCAATCTGTTTCATGGTTTTTAAAGTAAAGAATTTAATGAAAACCCAGGAGCTCAGTAAATAATGCTCTTCAGTCAACCTTAAATTCATGCCAGTGAAATAGACTTTTTTTTGGTTTTTCAAATTATTTTGAAGCTAAAGAGAAACTTTATGTGCAAAGTGACGGACTATAAGCCCTTTGAGAGCAGGGATCATATCCATCATAATCTCATGTCTAGCCCAATAGTGCCTTCCTCCTGGATATTATTCACTAAATATTGCTTGAAAGAACAAGTAAATTGAGAAATGAAAGAAATAATGAAATAGAAGGTAGAGTTTAAACAACATCCTGATAATTCAGGCAAAATTGTTCATTTGTAAGAAAGGAAAGAAGTAAGATTCAAAAGCTTTGGTTATTAAAAATAATTGTCCACTCTAATTGAATTCACAGAATAACTTGACTTAAATTCGCAGGTTAATTTCTCTCCAATTACAGACACAATAATCTGACACGGGCACAGAGCCAGCGTGAACACTGGATCACTGTGATCACTCAGACTTAGCACTGCGTTATTTGACTTTGTGTTCTTTCCCAGCAGATAAGATTATTTCTTACCCCTATTTAGAATTTATATTTCTGTCTGCTCATCTCCATTTCTCTAAGTAAACAATAAGTTAAACATAATATCTCTATTTTGATCAAGATAAAATAAAATTGAGTTAAAGCATGTTTTATTCTGATTAAAATTTTTTGTCAATATTATAAGTGTAAAAACATTTGTAAATGAGCATGAGAATGCCTTCTAACATGCTTATTTTCTTGCATTTAAAAGTACAGCTTTCTTTCTTACTTAAAAACATCTGAAAGAAAAATGCATATTGCTAATCTAGTAGTCAAGATAATAAATCTGTGATACTTCTATTCCTCCTTTATAATGAGCATTTTTCTTATCTTAAAAAAGAAAAATAAAATAAAGTCAATAACCAAAGGAAATAGGAAATAATTATTGTTAAAAATACAAAATAGTACTATATAAGAACATACGTTAGGGAATAAACTAAGATCTTTTTAGAATCTTAAAATCAAAATATCTTTTACTGACAGTATCTAGGAACTTTACAAAATATATAACTCTATTATTAACTCTTGTAACTTTCATGGTCGTATGGTCGTATGTTTTTTAATTATTTCACAGCATGTCATGTACTTAATTCTCTAGAGGCAAATAATCATGAGTTTATCTTGATTACTTTTTAAACAGCATTTATTTTGAAGAAATAAGTGAAAATAGCATATTAGTACAACATTTGCTCTAGATAACATCTTGGACATTTTCATGAACTTCAAAGATTTAAGCTTTTTTAAAAATGACATTTTACTTCTGCTCAAGTATTTTTGATCATCTTCTGCAATGTTACTCATAAACTCAACATTCACCTATTATTAGTGCCCTTAGTATGAAAAGTTCAATACATTACTTTATTGTCATTAAATTATGAAAAAATTTTAAGAATTTCAATGCAACAAAGTTTAACTTACCTCAAAAGGGATTTGTTTTTATAAACTCTTTCCAGTACGACCTCAGTTCTTTGGTCAAAGGCAATACAGAGACTTCCCTGTCTTCTCTTCCTCTTCCTTGAGTACCAGTGAGTTGATGAGTTCCTCTCTGTCTGTGATAAGCACTGCAGAGGACTCTCAGAGTTTGTCCTCACTCCTGATGCCACACACCTTTTTCTTGGCACTTTATCTGGTCCCAGGGGAAAATTCCTGCAGAAATTTCCTTCCCTGTAATCTCTTGACAGATGGCTCTGCTGGCAAGAGCCTTCACTCTTAGGAGCGCTTTAATAGGCTTTTATTCTCCCGCATTGCCTCTCACAGGTTTTATTTTTTAATTGCACAACGGTTCATGCCTCATGTCCTAACAGGCCAGAGCATCATTGCCTCCTTGTAGTATTCCCAGCTAATCTGCTTTTCTGGTTTTTGTTTTTATTTCTATAAATTTGCAAAGCTAGTTTCCTTTTAATGTTTCCTTATTTTCCTACTCCTATTCTCACAGGCAGTTGTTTAAAAAAAAAAAAAAGCTCAGTAATTTACTTTAAAGCACCAACTGAATAAATATTGAACTGTTCAAATACAAATAAAGTAATTTTGTGTGGCCATTGATCAAGGTGTAAACCAGAAAAACAAAATCTTTTAATTACCAATTTTCTTGATATTACATGTGTTCTGTTAAATGTCTTTGTTATGTATAATGTTCTCTTCTCTCTCTTCCCCCTTCCATGGCCCCCCACTTCTCCTCTTTCTCTTTCTCTCTTGCATCGTTTTTGGGGGAATAAAATAGAAACATCCTCTGAAATTAGAGAGTCAACTGGCATCTGGATGATGTTACATAAAACAATAAAGAGAATACTCATTTATTAATTCTTTTATCTTAATATTTAAATATGGTGAAAATATGGATGATACAAAAAGGGATAGCAAACAAAAATACCTATAAATTTAGGCAAGGAATTTGAACCAAACATAAGCAACATGAGGGGCAGCGGGAGCCATGGCTAACAGGAGCGTGTGGCCCATTTATAAAGGACAGTGACTACTCGTCTCCAGCTAGTCACCGTCTGGTGGGAATTTCAGTTCTGTATTGTAAGATCTGCCTGTTTTTTGGGAGAATTTCATATCTGGATTTTTATGTAAGAAAAAGAAAATTGCTTGATTTTTAAATATTGGAGAACACTATGGGAGCTAAGCCCAACACCTGTGGCCCAGTCTCAGCCTGAGCACTACCACATAATGACTTCTGATCTAGAATAATACTCAGATAAAACCAATGCCAATGCTGAAGCACTACATTTTATTAAATAATTGTGAGAACTAAGCACTTTCCTCTTATGTGAAATGATAATCATGTAGAGACTAGTCAAATCAAGTGAAAGAACCTATAATAACCTTTAATAAAGACCTTAGGGATGGCATTAGCCAGATAACAGGTAACTAGTGTGGGCAAAGTGTAGATCAAATGTGGATCAAATAATAATGAAAAGTGATTTCATAAGGAGAGACGGAGACATTTTATCTTATTTTATCCAAATTTTTTACACTCTACCTAATAATCTTATGTAATAATTACTTTTTTCTAACTATATATTCATGCTAAAAGCATGTTTTAAGTCTTCATAATTCCATTACTAGTAAAATGCTAGTCTATATTCCTATACAATGTGTCCGTATATACACATGCACACATTCATATATATGTATAATTTACGTACACATGCATTTGCATTATATACATACATACTTACCTTTTTTAAAAAAAATGGTATACTGCATATATTATTTCATAGGCTTTTATTTTCACTCAATGCTGAATACATTATTAACTTTTTCCCATTTTAATAAATAACCTCTTACAATGTAATTTTCAATGGCTACATTGTGTCCCATTTTTTGGAGAAAACATAATTTACCTGGCCAATCACCTATTACCAAGTAAATTTTTTCCAGTATTTTTTTACAATAAAGTGTCTATAATTTACAACTGCTCACTTATCTTTGTGCACATCTGCTATATCTTATCATGTCAAAATATATGCACATTTCCCTCCCAAAATGTTGTGCCAATTTACAACATTACAACTGTGATCAGCGAACTCATTTCCATGCATTCTCAACAAAATTGGGCATAATCATTCTCTCTAATTATTTTAGGTGAAAAATAGATTATGTAACATTTTAAGCCTTATAAAATTAGTCTTATTTTCACATATGCTAGATAAAAAATTACACATATATTAGCTGAATAATAATTTTTCTTAATGTTTTTTCTCTTGACTGACTGCCAGGACACATTTCTCCAGCAACTCTTCAGAGTCAGCAAATTGTAACAGGAAGCAATGGGAACCATTCGAACTTGCCTGTGTCCTGGCAGGTGAATACCTGGACACCTGCCAGCAGCTCTAGGCCTCTCCCTCTCTGGGTCCCTGATACATGACATGCTAATCAGATGCTTCATGCACTGGCATCAATTAAGATGGGATAGCAGGAGAATTTGTCACCTGGTGAACTCTTTTCAAGAAATAGACTTGAAAAATCACTGTGACATGCACATAACTAGGAAAAAGAGATGTAATACTAAGACTAATATCCACTGCAGACTTACTCACCAATGAAAGTGCTAATCTGGATATTCTGCATAAAAATGTCTTTCCATAGGGTATGATTTTGGAAAGACCTGCTTCACTCAGTTGTTGCCACACACAGGGTCCTTTGTCACTGTACTCAGGCACTAAGCAGTCTCTTCTCTGAGAGAAATCAATCTCCCCTCTGTGAGAAGTGACTCCTCTCAACCCAGAATCCACTGAGTGATATTGGACAAGAAACCTCCTGTGCTTCAGTTTCCTCCAGTAAAATGGGAATGATAATTGTTGTACTTGCCTCATACCTGTTTTTTGCAAAGATTAAATGTAAATTGCCTAGAAGATTTACCTGGTGTAGATAAGACCTGTTATCCATTTTTGTTACTATTATCCCCACTGTACTTTTTTTTAGCATATTATCGGGGTACAAGTGTTAAGGTTACATATATTGCCCATGCCCCCCTCTCCCCTAGAGTAAGAGCTTCAACCGTGTCCATCCCCCAGATGTTGCACATCTTACTCATTGTGGTTGTATATACCCATCCCTTCCTCCCCCCTCCCACCCTCCCAACACCCAATAGATGATACTCCTATATGTCTACTTAGGTGCTGATCTGTTAATAGCAATTTGCTGGTGAGTACATGTGGTGCTGGTTTTTCCATTCTTGAGATACTTCACTTAGTAGAATGAGTTCCAGCTCTATCCAGGAATATACAAGAGGTGCTATATCACCATTGTTTCTTAAAGCTGAATAGTATTCCATGGTATACATATACCACATTTTATTAATCCACTCGTGAAATGATGGGCACTTGGGTTGTTCCCACAGCTTTGCAATTGTGAATTGTGCTGCTATAAACATTCGAGTGCATGTGTCTTTAATCAATTTCTCTATTTTCACAAATCTGACTATGTTGTACTTTATACCTTTGATTTACCTTCAAGAAATGAATTCCTTGGAATCAAGATCTGTTTTCCTTCATTTCTATATAACAAAAATTTAGCACATTGTCTAGATAATATTAGGCCCTGAATAGATGTTTCTTTAATGCTGTATGGATGAATACATGAAAAAACAAATGAGTACATTTTTAGGCAAATCATGAGGCAGAATCTTTTCCTGCCATAGTTCTTTCTAGTTTCTAGCTCTCGTTCCTAAATGCTTGTACAGTCTTTAAAAAACATCCAATCCAGGGTAACCAAAAAAGCTTATACCTAAATTCTATAAAAATATATTGAACCCCAGCTGTAGACAAGGCACTCATTGTCTTAGGGGCTGTTTCTCTCATTGAAAATATGTTTTTCACAGAAAACCTGTAACTGATGATAACTGATACTATAACTAGAACAGGCAAAGTATTGGTCTTCACCTTAAGAGAAATATTTTTAGTTATATGTGAAAGATCATGACTTAGCTAATAATAAAAGCACTATTAGAATATGATCATTAGGAACTAAACCTATTGTCTGTAAGACAGATATCAGTGTGAATGTGACCATATGAGTTTTTCAGAGACCTATGGAAATGTCAAAAGCAAAGAGAATTCTAGTGTGTGATCCAGACTAATTACAGAGAAGTTTTTAAGGTTTAAGAAGAAATTACTCTTTCTTTTTTCCTCCTTTAAGTCTGAGTGAGTACTGTTTATACTATGTACTAATAATTCTGACTTACTATGTAGGTATCATTAACGTGAAAAACAACTCATTCTGCCAAGTTCCAAAAATGACAAATGCTATCTCAACAATAAATTTTCATAAAATTCAACCCATTCCCAAAATGAAATAAACATTGAAAATTCCGTCTTCCATATAAGGCAAAGAGAAGAATTTAGTGTAACTTCACCCTCATTACAGAAAGGTTATTGTGATGCTTCAGAATGTAACTGAATGCTAAGCATACAGAGAAAAGGCAATTTATTTTATATAGTCATTATTTGCTTTTGTATACAAATCAAAAAAGAAAAAAGATTTTAGCCAGATAGTCTTTAAATGGTGTTGTAAACCTGTGGAAAGAAATGAATAAGTAGTTACCAGGAATGATTTATATGCCCTAAAGTTTGTCATACTATGTCTTTTCCTACATATCCTAAAAGATTATTCTTATTCCATTACCTATCAAATTTTGGACAAAAACATTTTATTGATATTTAAATAGAATTAGAGAATGTTAGCTCTTAAAGGGAATTTAGAGCTCATCTGACCCAATTCCATCCTTTTTACTGATAAGGAAGGAGGGTAAAAAACAATTTATTAAGCAATTTGCCCCAAATTACAGTTAATAACTGGTAAGCCAAAGCTCAACTCCAAGTTTAGTGCATTTTGAGACATTAAAAACAAAACCTTCTTTCTAAAACCAATGGTAGGCTTTGATTTCCACAGTGTTGAGAAGCTTAATGAACAAAATTTAAACTTGACTGGACCCAGGATTTCAATAGGAAGCACTATCAAAAATTACATGCTATCCCAATAGTCTCTATGGGCAAACCTGCCACCTTGTATAATTTGGAAAGGGATTACT